TGACTTAATTAGCACGCCCAATTTGGCAAACGATGCCACTTTATAACATGATCAGTACATGGGCACAGGTGTCCAGGGTTCTCTATAAAGTGAGACCTTAGAACTGAAAGGCTCTATCTTCCATAAGAATCAAAGGGAGATAAACCACTTTAGTTCTTATTTCACGACTGACTGGTCAATATTTCTGTTATAATCTCGTCTAAAAAAAAGTTAACTGAAGCAAGAAGCTTCTTTGTTGTCCTGATAAGTCGCAGGTCAAGGGTTCGGTGGAGCCGGCTACAGATCGACATTAGATTGATGATAACACAAGGAGGTTATAGTGTAAGGTCCTTGTAATAACACCATACAGAACCGTATGCTGGTTGCACACTGAGCTTTTTTTATATTCGACATCGAAGCATTTTATTTTCATGGCTTTCAGTGGGGTTTTTTTAACATATTTTTTTAAAAATTTGTTTTGTATTGACGACGCCATCAAAATGATTGAGATCATTTAGGAGGCGGGTTTCAGCCCTGCTGTCAGGACCAATCCAGAATTGAGAGGGATAGCCTACAACGTCCCGACAGAATACAATGAAAAATACTGCCTACACGAGAATTGAACTCTAGTCTTCTGTGTACAAAAGCAAAACGCCTAGATTCTAACCGCTGCACCACGGCACCGGTAGATTTGATTGTTATGTCAAGAACTCGTATCTTGCTATGAAAGAGCTGAAAGCCATAACGACACGATTTTTGGACTTCAACAAATCGGAAGAGGTGTGCATTGTGCACATTCTCTATAGAACGAGCATGGTGTTCGGAATCCTAACCCACACACGCACACGTTCGCATCACTTGTCACTTTGTGTGCCCTAGTCATGCTTGGCATATAGCGTGAAACGATGATATATGAGGCCGGCTAGGGTACAGTGGAGGAATGTAGCTGCACACGAGGGAGAAAGAGTTAAAAGATGAGAATGATCTGATCGCAATACAATAGCATGCTACTGCTGTTCAGTTGAGGGTCACAATTCAGAGTGACAGGGTTTTATGTGAGTTTAACGTAAAAAGAAACAGAGGTGAGGACAATCTTTGAGTCTTGAGAAAAGACGGAAATTTACCCATGTTCTGTTGTCTGCTTCAACCCCCAGGGTACCCCCATCCCGCCCCCACCCCTCCTCCCCTTTGCCACCCTCTGGGCTCCTGGCTCTTTCTGCAGCCTTCCTACTGCTTGATCTACTCTTGGGTCCTTCTTTCTGCTGTCTTCCAGCCACACCCCTGATTTTATGGGGACACAGGCCCAGTTTGTCATATGAGGCCTCTACTGTGCCCCGCATGATGGAAGTTATCACTGAAACTCTCAAAAAGAGTAAATGAATGATTGGTTGATTGTATGAATTGAATTTTATTTCTCAATTGTTTTTAACGAAAGATCATTCATTGTACAAAGGTGGAGAATAAACAAACTTAAGTTACAACTACAGTGTTAAAGTGCTGTAATTATGACTGCCGTCCATACCCAAATACTTAAATGAAATTGTGACAAACTGGGCCTGTGACAAACTGGGCAGCCCCCTTCTATGGTAAGTAAGACCTAACACTACACCTAGCCTTCTCGGGAAAGTGCGAAAAACCTCTGACGTCCCGTGTGCACTTTGCGTTCGTTAAAGATTCCTTTGTGGTACTAAAATCGATAAGAGTAGGCTTGGGCCGCCACTCGGGCAAAATTAGTGCAAAAATATTCCTACCAAACTGAAAATGTTTCATGTGTCCCGAACACGCAGGTGCGAGCCCCATAAATAC